ATTGGATATCGTTTTGTCAGTGAAGTGTCCTTCATATTGTAGTTTATAGAATATTGCCACTGTACCTTCATGGAATGCTGTGCAAAAAATATCTTATCTTATCTATCTTATGTCTACGTAAATCTATTTTAGAGCATTCTGAGCCTTTAGCGTTATAACCCTGGATCAAACACATTTTGAGCAAGGGTCGGATGAAGCTGTTTGCAATCTTCGTATAAACAGCATGGTCGATTCTACCTCTAGCTGAAGCTACTTCAGGATTAAGAATGATGACAATTTGTATGGATATACAACTTCTTTTATTCTGTGAAGGGCGACGTTCCGGCATAGCTTCTAATGTCGTTGTCAAGCAATCACATAGAAATTGTCATCATTCTTCATCAACTCAACTTCTAAAATGCCCATCAAAGAGTATTTGAGGATTGCTCGACATCAGGGAAAAACTCGACTATTTCTAAGTAGCATTCGACCCTATATATAAGACAGATGAGTGGGTTCACTGGCTTCACAAATACGTTTCAGACATATGCCCTTTACACCAACATTTAAGGCTGAGTATAGGAAAGTGTAATCCCACATATACCATCTGTAATATTCGCTGTGGAAAGTCGGCATTATACCGGGAAATACAGCGTCTAGGACGATATTGCCCTCATGAATCCCTCACAATGTCTTCATATTGACGGACAATCTGACACAATAACGTAATTCCACCCCTCCCCACAAGCCCAGCACGTTCATATCTGAGTTGCGCTGGTAGTAACAAGTCATCGATGAGAGATTATTTGCTATGTAGCTAACATCCCATCAAGCTGGCGATGTACATAGCGGCTTCGTCAGTGACTGACAGAAACTGATTATGATTGGCAGGCCCAATCCGCTGTAACTAAGTAAATTGAATGAGCTTTGAGGTTCATCACATGATGGGTCTGGCGCATCCGGGGTCAACACGGAGTTTAGCTTGATTAGCGCGCTGTCACTCACTAACAGAGTCGTTCAGGAAATCAGCCTAACTCAACAGAATTGTGCGAGTCTCCTTGCACACGTCCTTGTGTTTGTAATGATGCACATAACCAGCTCGTTAGATGCATGCGCGCACGTGAGGTTGCCGGGACGTGCAGCTCTCGATGGCTGTCATCTTTGCTTTCATTCCGGATTTTTATCATTATTAATTCATTTTCGGATACCTCAAATCGAACCTATGACACCAAGAGGCATTTTGATACCAATTAATACTTAGTATTGGGTATGTTGAAGTTTAATAAGAGAACTAAGACATCGGTTAGTGGAATAGTATAAGCTGATGATGAGGACCAAATGAATGTATTAATGACATTATATGTCGTGTATTCAGTTATGTTATAAATCATGTTTATTATTCATAGATAAAAGTTTCCACCCCACAAACGAATGATCCTAACATCAAAGCATCCACAGTGACGACATACTTTAGTATTGATGGTTCAGAGGCTTTGTTTCATCCTCAGATGTTGCTAGTCCTTGCCTGTGTCGTGACGGTTGAGTTGACGGGTGTAAATAGTCACATCGTTGCGAGTCAGCTAAAAAGAAGCTGACGGGCTAAAGAAATGCTACCATAGATTTGTAAAAGCCCTAACCACAAAAGATAGATCTCTACGACGGCGGTAAACACGCACTCTTCCGTCAGCTCTGAACAGGGAGAAGCGGCTTTCATCCGAGAATAGCACCCTCTGCCACTCACGTCGCTGCCAACATCGAACAGTCCCGGCCCATCTTTCCAGGTCGACGATGTTTGGCTGTCAGCTGCTGTCCCCGGAAAGGTCCCCGGATTCCATAGGACCTCAGTCGTCTGGCAACACAGTGACCCAAGCCATGCACAGCTGATGACGTCACTGTCAGGTTTCTGAAATGCAGCGTGTGCAGATACTTGTCCTCCTGGGGCGTTATGACATGAGTTCTGCCTGATCGTGGCCTGTTTGAGGTCAGTTCTGTCTGACGATATCGCTGGTGTTATAAAAAGAATGAATGTCTGACAATCCGTTTGCATTGGTTTTATACTCATTTGGCACTTATGTTTTTCGCTTTGCGTAAAAAGCATTCAAGCCATATCTGGGCAAAATGGTGAAAAAGCATGTATTGCATGCCTTATTTCCAAGTGGTAAAAACACAGTGTTGCGTTTGGGCGATGTGTTTCATGTGATGGTGATTGCAGCTGAATTTGTAATTTTGGGTAATTTCAATTTCAAAGTGGTAACGTTACTTTAGCCCCGTCAGTTTAGGAGAACGCCCGATGAGAGACTGATGCATGACAGTGTAGCACTTGGAGGGATCACACTGGCGCGGACATGTTAAACAACATGTCACCACATGGACCATTCATATCCCGACTGACATGTTAAACAACATGACACCACATGGACCATTCACATCCCGACTGCATGTTAAACAACATGACACCACATGGACCATTCACATCCCGACAGACATGTTAAACAACATGACACCACATGGACCATTCACATCCCGACTGACACGTTAAACAACAGACATGTTAAACAACATGACACCACATGGACCATTCACATCCCGACTGACACGTTAAACAACATCACACCACATGGGCCATTCATATCCCGACTGACATGTTAAACAACATCACACCACATGGACCATTCACATCCCGACAGACATGTTAAACAACATGACACCACATGGACCATTCACATCCCGACTGACATGTTAAACAACATCACACCACATGGACCATTCACATCCCAACTGACATGTTAAACAACACTGACATGTTAAACAACATCACACCACATGGACCATTCACATCCCGACTGACATGTTAAACAACATGACACCACATGGGCCATTCACATCCCGACTGACATGTTAAACAACATGAGACCACATGGACTATTCACTTCCCGCCTGACATGTTAAACAACATGTCACCACATGGGCCATTCACATCCCGACTGACATGATAAACAACCTCACACCACATTGACCATTCATATCCCGACAGACATGTTAAACAACATCACACCACATGGACCATCCATATCCCGACTGACACGTTAAACAACATCACACCACATGGACCATTCACATCCCGACTGACATGTTAAACAACATCACACCACATGGACCATTCACATCCCGACTGACATGTTAAACAACATGTCACCACATGGACCATTCACATCCCGACTTGGTGATCCCGACACATGTTGCCAAGGGACGCAACTCTGTGACACATCGTGGTGATGTGTCTGGAGTCGTCAAACATTGACTTGACACCGACCACTGTTCTTGAAGCTTTTGGTTCTAACATTGTAACGCCAAGCTGTGAGCATTCTCACCACGACCTACAGGCCGGCTGGGACAATGAACCAGACAATCCAATTGTCATCGACTTATATCTCTCAAGTCAGCTCGAGCCCAGAAAAACTGTACCGGAAGTACAAGACGCACATAAGTTCACTTGTATCCTGAGTATGGGGAGGAGCATGCACGACAGTGACGGCATCGGACAGATCAGCATCTTAAACAGCAACAACACTGAGCATGGAGCAGGGCTTTGTTCGGGATACTCAGAGAGTGTGTGAATGAGTTCACCCAAGTAAGCTGAGACAGGTTTCCATACAAACACTAGGTTACGCACACGCACACGCACACGCACACGGAAGGTTCAGGCAGAATTTCACATATACACAGAAGTGTGAAGTACTTCACGCAGTGTGATGTTCGTTTGTCAGTAGAAGTACGGTTACATCGCAGCTGAGGTTGAGTTTTTGAGGCACATAGCGACGACTGGACTCGGAAGACTGAGACTGAAGTACATGCATCTACAGCACAGAACCATGTTGAATGCCACCACACTTCTCCTGTGTTATAAAATACGCAAGCGCAGATTTGTGTGACTATCGACTGTATTCTGCCTCAGACCACCAAGCCTATTTCCCCGTTAAGCGTCAGCGTAATCAAACCCGAGTGAATGTTTTATGAACACTACATCTCGAGGAATCAAATTTGACTGAACACCGTTCTATCTTATTTTATTCCCTGTGGTAATCGATCCGGCAGATTAGCCTTGTCAGAGCACTCTGCGATCGTCCCTCGAGAGGTGGACCCGAGATTTTCCCCGATCAGTGACTGACACAGTATCAGATACTTTAACGAAAGGTCAACCGGAGACGATGACACCAAATTCAGCTTTATTTTGTTGCCTTCTTTGAAGCCACAGCGCGTCTTTATAAAACGGATAACTACAAAAACATACATTAGTCTACAAACATACATTAGTCTACAAACATACATTAGTCTACAAACATACATTAGTCTACATTAGTCTACATTAGTCTACATTAGTCTACAGACGGACAGGTCGCGTGTTTTCCTGGGCGGTTCATCAGTATCTTGTCGAAAGTAGCCAGACACGGATGCTATATTGATGACACGATCAAAGTGTACACTGGGCATCTAGATTAACCACTCCTTGTGATACCCACCCCCACCCCACCCCACCCCCACACACACGCTCCCTATTATGAGCCTTGATCTACCTGCTTGTGCTTAAGGGTTACACGAAGTAGTTGTATACTTTGTCATAGAACGTTGCAGCATCATGTAACGTGAAAACTTGGGTTCAAACCAGTGAAAAAAAAACCTCACTCACCCACAGGGTATAATAGTTACAATATACCAGTTACAGAGAAATAAGACTCCCATATGAAAGGCTGGTGTCACATTCCCATCTCCAGTAATCTGGTGTCACATTCCCATCTCCAGTAATCTGGTGTCACATTCCCATCTCCAGTAATCTGGTGTCAGATCCCATCACAGTGTGTGACCAGTGATATCAACACCCCGTCTTTACACAACTGGTGTCACACCAATTGGTATCACGACCCTTCCTAAAGATCACTGTTGACGCAGTTCCTTCTCTAAACAATAGGCCCGGACACAGCATATCCCACCCTGCTGGTAACACGGACACAACCCGGACACAGCATCTCCCACCCCTGCTGGTAACCCGGACACAACATATCCCACCCTTGCTGGTAACCCGGACACAACATATCCCACCCTTGCTGGTAACCCGGACACAACATCTCCCACCCTTGCTGGTAACACGGACACAACATCTCCCACCCTTGCTGGTAACCCGGACACAACATATCCCACCCTTGCTGGTAGCCCGGACACAACATATCCCACCCTTGCTGGTAACCCAGACACAACATATCCCACCCTTGCTGGTAGCCCGGACACAACATATCCCACCCTTGCTGGTAACCCGGACACAACATATCCCACCCTTCCTGGTAGCCCGGACACAACATATCCCACCCTTGCTGGTAACCCGGACACAGCATATCCCACCCTTGCTGGTAACCCGGACACAACATATCCCACCCTTGCTGGTAACCCGGACACAACCCGGACAGCATCTCCCACCCTTGCTGGTAACCCGGACACAACATCTCCCACCCTTGCTGGTAACCCGGACACAACATATCCCACCCTTGCTGGTAACCCAGACACAACCCGGACAGCATCTCCCACCCTTGCTGGTAACCCGGACGGACAACATATCCAACCCTTGCTGGTAACCCGGACACAACATATCCCACCCTTGCTGGTAACCCGGACACAACATATCCCACCCTTGCTGGTAACCCGGACACAACCCGGACAGCATCTCCCACCCCTTGCTGGTAACCCGGACACAACATATCCCACCCTTGCTGGTAACCCGGACATAACATATCCCACCCTTGCTGGTAACCCAGACACAACCCGGACAGCATCTCCCACCCTTGCTGGTAACCCGGACACAACATATCCCACCCTTGCTGGTAACCCGGACACAACATATCCCACCCTTGCTGGTAGCCCGGACACAACATATCCCACCCTTGCTGGTAACCCGGACACAACATATCCCACCCTTGCTGGTAGCCCGGACACAACATATCCCACCCTTGCTGGTAACCCGGACACAGCATATCCCACCCTTGCTGGTAACCCAGACACAACATCTCCCACCCTTGCTGGTAACCCGGACACAACATCTCCCACCCTTGCTGGTAACCCGGACACAACATATCCCACCCTTGCTGGTAACCCAGACACAACCCGGACAGCATCTCCCACCCTTGCTGGTAACCCGGACACAACATATCCCACCCTTGCTGGTAACCCGGACACAGCATATCCCACCCCTGCTGGTAACCCGGACACAACATATCCCACCCTTGCTGGTAACCCGGACACAACCCGGACAGCATCTCCCACCCTTGCTGGTAACCCGGACACAACATATCCCACCCTTGCTGGTAACCCGGACACAACATATCCCACCCTTGCTGGTAACCCAGACACAACCCGGACAGCATCTCCCACCATTGCTGGTAACCCGGACACAACATATCCCACCCTTGCTGGTAACCCGGACACAACATATCCCACCCTTGCTGGTAACCCGGACACAACATATCCCACCCTTGCTGGTAACCCGGACACAACATATCCCACCCTTGCTGGTTACCCGGACATAACATATCCCACCCTTGCTGGTAACCCGGACCTATCATATTCCACCCTTGCTGGTAACCCGGACACAGCATCTCCCACCCTTGCTGGTAACCCGGACACAACATATCCCACCCTTGCTTGTAACCCGGACCTATCATATCCTACCCTTGCTGGTAACCCGGGCCTATCATATCCCACCCTTGCTGGTTACCCGGACACAACATATCCCACCCTTGCTGGTAACCCGGACACAGCATCTCCCACCCTTGCTGGTAACCCGGACACAACATATCCCACCCTTGCTTTTAACCCGGACACAGCATATCCTACCCTTGCTGGTAACCCGGACCTATCATATCCCACCCTTGCTGGTTACCCGGACACAACATATCCCACCCTGCTGATTACAAAGTCAGAGGTAAGAAAGTTATTATGTGTTCTTATGTACGTGCGTTCGTGTGTGCGTGTGTGCGTGTGTGTGTGTTTGCGTGGTGACGATGAATGTTCTATACCATTCCATAGGATCTTTTTCTTCGGGTCTTTTGTTCACAGACATCATGACAGGACTGCCCTGAGACCGTAACGTTTCATAGCTATTCCCTGGAGAGAGAGTCATCTGCATACACAGCGCACAAATATTTGCTATTTGCTGTATCACTGCTTTTAATTTCAGTTACATAAACTAGACAGCGACGTACAGTCGACCAGTACACCAGATGTAGCAATCGACTGGCATGTATGGTGGACTCAGATCTGTTCTCATTCCCATGAAGACTCCATGTTATATTGCACTTTACCAGAAGCCGACACATGTTTCGGAACACTGTGAGTCAGAATTCTCCAACATTGTGTTTTACATGGTGATTAGAGAATATAGCTCTGACAGATTTCTCCAGATAAGTTGATCAAGTCCCACCCAATGAGATAATCGATTGAATGGTACGGCTGACACGTGCAGTTAATGACCTAAGTGACCACCTACAGCTCTCATCAAGCCCTCTGCGAGTTAGCGTGCGATCATTACTCTGCTCTAAGTGATTCTTCAAAGCAGCTCCGTGACACTTCATGCCTTCTCTCTCTCTGTTGTAAGAACGTTCCAAATGTTCCCAGCAGTTCAAACAATCCTGCATCCTTTTTATTAGTACAAGAAAGAAGTTTAGCAGACATTATTACCATACGTTACTATTAATGGTAACTCCAGAAGACATTATTACGACACGGTCAGCTGTATCGGCTGTGTCGGTAAACAGTATGGCTTTACTTTACTCAAACCGAGGAATATACATGACGTTATGACAGCTCTTTCCAGGGCAGCATCACGAGACATCACGACACCGCTGATCTGTCTTCAGATAGTGTTACAGGACTGTACTGTACTGATCTGTCTTCAGATAGCGTTACAGGGCTGTACTCTACTGATCTGTCTTCAGATAGTGTTACAGGACTGTACTCTACTGATCTGTCTTCAGATAGCGTTACAGGACTGTACTCTACTGATCTGTCTTCAGATAGCGTTACAGGGCTGTACTCTACTGATCTGTCTTCAGATAGCGTTACAGGACTGTACGTTCAGGACTGTACTGATCTGTCTTCAGATAGCGTTACAGGACTGTACTCTACTGATCTGTCTTCAGATAGCGTTACAGGACTGTACTCTACTGATCTGTCTTCAGATAGCGTTACAGGACTGTACTCTACTGATCTGTCTTCAGATAGCGTTACAGGACTGTACTCTACTGATCTGTCTTCAGATAGCGTTACAGGACTGTACTCTACTGATCTTTCTTCATATAGTGTTATAGTACTGTACTCTACCGACCTTTCCATAGTAATTTTTGCCATGCGTTAAAACTGTTTCAGTCGACATTATTACAGCCCGTCCCATTTAGGGTTTATTAGCAGACAGTAATACAGGTCACCGCATTACCCGCTTTATCAACCCTGTAACTTACTAGATGAGCTTCCTTATTACAGTATCATGTTACAGTGCACGGAAGCGGCAGCACTTAATACCGATCCTCTGTCAGCTTGCGTCGTACACCACAACATCATCGAAACCACCAGCCAGTAGATGGTATTTAAGATTTTCAACTAATACCTGACTCGAGAATCTCAAGCAAGACCGGATGCCACGATACACAGTCATAATGACTTCACAAACAGAAATCAATTTCCTTTGACCCTCAAAGGCTTCCATAGATCTGTTGTCCCTCCAGTGACAGAGCACATGAAATATCAGCCAGGATTAATCCCGCGAAGAAAGCATTTCAAAGGGAGACACATGATTAAAACTATCACCCTTGCAGTTAATGATTTTGGAGGGAACACACTCCATTACAATCAGTTTGAAGCCATACACCTCAGACAAAATACGAATATGAATTAGCAAATTATCCAGCCCTAGGCGTCAACGATTCATGTCACCTTAATCAGAGTCTGCCATAATGCAACAAAGAGGAAGATTAACTCTGAAAGGAAGATGTAGCTAGCGGGCGTTTAGTACTGGACAAGGAGGGAGGATGTCCATGAAATGAAGAAGGCAGAGGATTTACTTTGAAGATAGGACGCACCAAATACTGTTAAAACTAATATGTGAAACCCAGGGTCATTCGCAGACTATATATTGAAGATATCTATGACACTGAGATTATTCATTTTGCTGGTCCATACATTTCATCTCTTTGCTGTTTCATGTAAAAACAGTATTTCCCTATCATAAATTGTGCTGAACATTTCAAATTTCAATAAATACGTTCTGTTCTATTTCAGGGTAATGAGTTCGTCAAGGACATATTGTAAAATGAGATAGTCCTTTTCGGAGAAAAATGTTCATGTGCTTTCAGCATTGCGGGTTCGATGAAGTATCCCATGCTCGGAAATTGCTTTGAGACCAACGCGGTCATAATATTCTGAATAAATACCGCAAATCTGCAAACAGATTACTGAACATCGACATTAGAAAAATACTCTCTCTCTCTCTCTCTCTCTCTCTCTCCTCTCTCACCTCTCTCTCCTCTCTCTCTCTCTCTCTCTCTCTCTCTGCCTCTCTCTCTCTCTCTCTCTCTCTCTCTCTCTCTCCTCTCTCTCCCCTCTCTCTCTCTCTCTCTCTCTCTCTCTCTCTCTCTCTCTCTCTCTACCTCTCTCTCTCTCTCTCTCTCTCTCTCTCTCTCTCTCTCTCTCTCTCTCTCTCTCTCTCTCTCTCTCTCTCTCTCAAGTGTATGTGTTGGTGTGAGTGAGTGAGTGAGTGAGGGAACGTTAACAACAACACATAACAACTAGAGTGTGGTAGATTCTGGTTTAAAGCCGCCTTTACCAGACCCCCATCACACATTGTACCCATGTGGGGAATCAAATCCGGGTCTTCGGCCTGACACGCTACAGCCACGCTGCCACATCACCGCTCCTGGACAGCTGACGGACCTTCTCTGTGGAGATCTTTTCGATGTAGTTATCAATGCCATAAACAAACTGGACTATTTTCAGTGTATACTATATTTAACATGATAAAGGTTGCTCATGTATTGCTATTGGTATGTCATAACTGTTTCAGTACCAACAGGGGAAGAGTGAGTGAGTAAGTTACGTTTTATCCCGCTTTTAGCAATATTCCAGCAATATCACGGTAGGGTACAGCAGAACTGGGCTTCACACATTTTTTCCCATGTTGGGAACCGAACCCGGGTTTCGGCGTGACGAGCAAGCGCTTTAACCACTAGGCTGCCCCACCGCCCCCTAACAGTGGAAGAGGATCGTAAAACATGAAACCACTCTGACAGAATATTGCCTCATCTGCATTCACGTGTACATTTACACAGGCGTGTCATCTAGAGAATACACGCACTCATCAGGTCATGAATTAACTTCATCAAACGCTTCCAGCTGATAGATACCGACGACGGGCTATGTAAACACACTGAATTGATACATCTTTGCCATATGATGAGGCCATGTCTCTTCATATCGTTAACTGACAGTGAAACCAACCTTTCTGTTGTTTCTTTGATGTCGCATATGAAACGCCACTATCTCACGACAAACCATATTTCTTCATTATGTTCGCTTTAGCCGAGAAGGACTGCAATGTGCAAAGATGAATAGGACCTTTTATGTACGCTTCTATTTATTACGCTTCATTGCGGGAGATTTATTTCAACAAATGTCAGATATTTGCACATCAAAGTCCAAAACATGAATCATGTATTCCACAGATAAATAGATAGCACCGAGGTCTTCAGGATGCCACACTCATAACACATGCTGAACATTTGCCTCGTTCAGTGGGAGTGGTTATTGTACTCCAGTCTCCAGTCCCCACTCTCCAATCTGCAGTCTCCAGTCTGCAAGTCTCCCGTCTCCCGTCACCCGTCTCCCGCCTCCCGTCTCCCGTCTCCAGTCTCGTCTCCAGTCTCGTCACCAGTCTCCAGTCTCCCGGTCTCCCAGTCTCTAGTTTCCCAGTCTCCCAGTCTCCAGTCTCCCTGTCTCTAGTTTCCAGTCTCCAGTCTCCAGTTTCCTGTCCCCAGTCTCTAGTCTCCAGTCTCCCTGCCTCTAGTTTCCAGTCTCCAGTCTCCACAATCAGCTGTATCTACACAACAGTAAAACGTGTTCTTCCGGTGACGTCGGGTGGTAACTGTGAGAATGTCCCAACTGTGGGTAGGGCGAGGGATCACCACTGCGCTCCAACAACCTGTCATCCCTGTCCGAATCCGGCTGTCATGATTTCTAGGTTTATCAGCAAAGTCTAAACCCCTTACAACCAACAAACAGGTGGGTCTAAACCCCTCGCAACCAACACACAAGTGGGTCTAAACCCCTTACAACCAACACACAGGTGGGTCTAAACCCCTCGCAACCAACACACAAGTGGGTCTAAACCCCTTACAACCAACACACATGTGGGTCTAGACCCCTCGCAACCAACACACAGGTGGGTCTCGACCTCTAACAACCAACACACAGGTGGGTCTAAACCCCTCGCAACCAACACACAAGTGGGTCTAAACCCCTTGCAACCAACACACAGGTGGGTCCAAACCCCTTACAACCAACACACAGGTGGGTTTAAACCAATCACAACCAACACACAAGTGGGTCTAAACCCCTGACAACCAACACACAGGTGGGTTTAAACCAATCACAACCAACACACAAGTGGGTCTAAACCCCTGAGAACCAACACACAAATGGGGTTAAACCCCTTTACAAGCAACACACAGGTGGGTCTCAAGCCCTCTCAACCAACACACAAGTGCGTCGAAACCCTTTAGAACCAACACAGGTGGGTGTCAACCCCTTACAACCAACACACAGGTGGATCTCCACCCCTTACAACCAACACACAGGTGGGTCCAAAACTCTTACAACCAACACACAGGTGGGTCTAAACCTCTTACAACCAACACACAGGTGGGTCCGAACCCTTACAACCAACACACAGGTGGGTTTAAACCAATCACAACCAACACACAGGTGGGTCTAAACCTCCTCAATCCAACACACAAGTGAGTCTAAACCCCTGACAACCAACACACAGGTGGGTTTAAACCCCTCACAACCAACACACAGGTGGGTTTAAACCCCTCACAACCAACACACAGGTGGGTCTCAGCCCCTTACAACCAACAAACAGGTGGGTCTCAACCCCTTACAACCAACCCACAGATGGGTTTCAACCCCTTATAACCAACAGGCTGATTTTAAACCTTCCCAACCAACACACAGGTTGGTCCAAACCCCTTACAAGCAACATACAGGTGTGTCCAAACCCCTTACAACCAACACGCAAGTGGATCTAAACCCCTTGCAATCAACACTCAATTGGCAAGTGGATCTAAACCCCTTGCAACCAACACGCAAGTGGATCTAAACCCCTTGCAACCAACACGCAAGTGGATCTAAACCCCTCACAACCAACACACAAGTGGATCGAAACCCCTCACAACCAACACGCAAGTGGATCTAAACCCATTCCAACCAACACGCAAGTGGATCTAAACCCCTCACAACCAACACGCAAGTGGATCTAAACTCCTTACAACAAACACGCAAGTGGATCTAAACCCCTTGCAACCAACACGCAAGTGGATCTAAACCCCTTGCAATCAACACGCAATTGGCAAGTGGATCTAAACCCCTTGCATCCAACACGCAAGTGGATCTAAACCCCTTGCAATCAACACGCAAGTTGATCTAAACCCCTTGCAATCAACACGCAAGTGGATCTAAACCCCTTGCAATCAACACGCAAGTGGATCTAAACCCCTTGCAACCAACACACAGGTGGGTCTCAGCCCCTTACAACCAACCCACAGGTGGGTTTCAACCCCTTATAACCAACAGGCTGGTTTTAAACCTTCCCAACCAACACACAGGTTGGTCCAAACCCCTTACAAGCAACATACAGGTGTGTCCAAACCCCTTACAACCAACATACAAGTGGATCTAAACCCCTTGCAATCAACACGCAAGTTGATCTCAACCCCTTGCAATCAACACGCAATTGGCAAGTGGATCTAAACCCCTTGCAACCAACACGCAAGTGGATCTAAACCCCTTGCAACCAACACGCAAGTGGATCTAAACACTTCACAACCAACACACAAGTGGATCGAAACCCCTTGCAACCAACACGCAAGTGGATCTTTACCCCTTGCAACCAACACGCAAGTGGATCTAAACCCCTTGCAACCAACACGCAAGTGGATCTAAACCCCTTTACAACCAACACGCAAGTGGATCTAAACCCCTTGCAATCAACACGCAAGTGGATCTAAACCCCTTGCAACCAACACGCAAGTAGATCTAAACCCCTTGCAACCAACACGCAAGTGGATCTAAACCCCTCACAACCAACACGCAAGTGGATCTAAACCCCTTGCAACCAACACGCAAGTGGATCTTAACCCCTTGCAACCAACACGCAAGTGGATCTAAACCCCTTGCAACCAACACGCTAGTGGATCTTAACCCCTTGCAACCAACACGCAAGTGGATCTAAAGCCCTTGCAATCCACTTGCAAGTGGATCTAAACCCCTTATAACCAACACGCTAGTGGATCTAAACCCCTTCAAGCCCCTTTCTTTCTGGCGGAGACTTGACGGTCGACAGAAAGCCGTCTTACAGCTGTAATGTTGGTTAGCGCAGCTTAAGTCTACAACAAAAACAGAAGACAACATGGCTTGGAACCCCTTCACAAAATGTTCACAGCTCTTAAAGCTTCGTTTAAAAGGATCGCATTTGAGACTGACACTTTAAATGGTAAAAACATGTTCTTGGGGTAAAACGAAAACTGAAGAGAAGAGAAACCAATATTCAATGTTCGCTTCGCCGAATTACATCGCCCCTATCTCATTCCCAGAGGCAGTCGTTGAGGAGATGAGGGCCGAGCATTTCCTTCAGCGGCGCCTACTGATTTAGTGGATATTGCTTCATCAGCAATTTTTCAACGATCCCAAAATGGCAGAGAAGGCATGTTGTCCTGTAATGAAATTCGCGGATAACTTATTCTAATTAACAGACATTATACTTGTACCCGTGGAGCTGATAAAGAAGGTCAATGATCTCAATGTGGAAAGAAAACATTGGTGCAGTCCCCGTTTGAAGGGGGTAAGAGGAGTGGATAATGTCACTAGTGACAATATTGTAGTCGTATCCAACACAGGGAGCAACACACTTCTATTAAACCTACATACGAGTTGGAGATCAACCATCTGCACTCGTTGGGCCTCGCGAAGAAATCCGCCCGGATGCAAGATATGATGTGTGAATATCAAAATCAAAGATCAGAGAGACTCGGTTTATGATTATCAACTAGTTGACAAGCACTTACTTCTAAGAGAGAATGGCCGTCACCAGTTACATAGCTATGCGACATGTGAGTTGAGATCAGATCAAAGCCCTCTCTTACAGTGGGTTTCCACGGAGTGTTATGGTGGTTCAGCGAGGGAAATTAACTAAACACTGAATCTGTTTCTTGGGGGCTTCAGATTCGTCATTACTGCTGGTCATCACATTTCCCGCTTGAGAATAAATGCCGCGAAACAGAGATTTAATCATCGATATAAAAACACACGTGAAGATTAAGTCGATACACTGATAGCAAGGACACCATCTATGTCGTCGATTCCATTCTTGGAAACTGACTATTGAAAGGTTTTAAGTGCGAATTAGATGCGTGTTTCATATAAAGAAACAATTAATGTCGGAGTACCCTGGGTCAGGTGACCTTGACATTCACACGAAATTAGAGAGCGTGGGTTGGGACATCCTGTGTGAGAACTGTCCGTGAAACATCGCCATGATGTCTAGGTATTGGGGGCGCGTGGGACAGCCAATTACAGAGAGCCGCACATGACCCTGAAGTGTACAGAATTTGAGTCAGGATTAACCTACACGATCACGTGAAGCATTTGGTGTGAAATGTCACCCTGGCACTGGGTATGACTACAGCTGGCTGTGAGTGATATATACAATATGGTATTAGGAAAAGCACAAATTACCTTACGAAACGTTTATTATTTGGGGAGAAACTCTCCCGAAAGTTTTATTCTATGCGTTAATAATCGGTGAAATAATTAGCATCAACAGCTGTCACCTCTGGATATAGATACACTATACGGGGATTATCTACTACTCTCATCCCACAGCTGCAAACTATCAGATACATCTACTACTCTCACACACAGCTGCAAACTATCAGATACATCTACTACTCTCACCACACAGCTGCAAACTATCAGATACATCTACTACTCTCAACACACAGCTGCAAACTATCAGATACATCTACTACTCTCAACACACAGCTGCAAACTATCAGATACATCTACTACTCTCAACACACAGCTGCAAACTATCAGATACATCTACTACTCTCATCACACAGCTGCAAACTATCAGATACATCTACTACTCTCATCTTACAGCTGCAAACTATCAGATACATCTACTACTAACTCATCAACACACAGCTGCAAACTATCAGATACATCTACTACTCTCAACACACAGCTGCAAACTATCAGATACATCTACTACTCTCAACACACAGCTGCAAACTATCAGATACATCTACTACTCTCACCCCACAGCTGCAAACTATCAGATACATCTACTACTCTCACTCTCCCCACAGCTGCAAACTATCAGATACATCTACTACACTCTCACACACACAGCTGCAAACTATCAGATACATCTACTACTCTCAACACACAGCTGCAAACTATCAGATACATCTACTACTCTCACCACACAGCTGCAAACTATCAGATACATCTACTACTCTCAACACACAGCTGCAAACTATCAGATACATCTACTACTCTCACCCCAACAGCTGCAAACTATCAGATACATCTACTACTCTCAACACACAGCTGCAAACTATCAGATACATCTACTACTCTCAACACACAGCTGCAAACTATCAGATACATCTACTACTCTCAACACACAGCTGCAAACTATCAGATACATCTACTACTCT